CTAATATAATACAAAGGCATGCAACAGAGTAGTTGCGGGAAAATTACTCCCATTATTTTTTCTGACTTCTGCGGCATAAATCTGAGCGCGGCGTATTTGCCGAAGTTACCCTATATAATTTTGTATGTGATGGCCTTAAGTCTTAAAAAAATATTAATGCGCATAAAAATATAAGAAAACTTTTTTTTTTAATTTTTATTGTAATAAGTATGTAATAAATATATAAATATAAATATATAAATCTATAAATGATGAATTAAGAACATTTGACACAAAGTTTTATTTTCATGTAAATGTTCAAAATATTTTTGAAGCTTTGAAAAATTATCTTTTTCAAAACGCGAAATACTATTTTCTCGTTATCGTATTCTCGTTATCATAAAGCCTGGAAAATTTCTAAACGAAAGTTGGCATGAACGTTTATTTACTAAAATGTAGCAGATCGCAACGTGGATCGCGATGGCTTATCCCACTTGGGTGGTATTCTTCAATAACGAGACCAAATTCGAAGACTTTTTCTTTGAGATTTACGTACCGTTTGACTGTAAGTTCATGGTGGTTCAGAGTAGCACGAACGTAATCGGCAGAGAAATCATCACTGAAGTTTATCAAGTTGACAAAGGAAGAGAACTAAGATCGTCGCAGTTCGGTATATGGGATGTAAGGAATGGTCTGAAAGGTCCTAAGCATGGCCTGTTTATAAGAAGGAACAATCTTTTCGGCCAGAATATACGCGTTACGTCAATCCATGTAAGGTCGCTTATCCTATTTTTCGCATAAGGGTTATAATGATGTTTATATTAATTAAACATGCAATTAGTGGTTAACTATTTGTTAAAAAAGAAATAATGATATTTAAATTAATGATAATTAGTGGAATAACTTCTATCACCTTCAAAAAGGCGAAGATGACAATGATATAATGTAAGATAATGGTTTAAACAAAAGCTTTTTAAAGCATTGTTGTTAGAAATAAGTCTTTACAAATTTTTTTTATCCTGTATCACACATGATATAATAGTGCTATGAAAGGTACTTTTCTTAATTACTTATTACTTTGCGTTTTTTTATATAACATTCTAACAGAATTACATTTACAATTTTTACAAAACACCTTAATATTCATTTTGGCATAACAATTTTATGCGCATAGGACCCTCCTATCAGTTTATTTCATCGTAATGAACGAAATGAAATAACAAAAATAAATGGCTTTTTTGGAGAAGTAATACTGCTATTGCAGGAGGCATTAAATTGCACGTAAGTATCATCAGATAATATACGAGTATAAAGATTATATTGTATGCGTAAGAGAAGTTATTATATTATATAAAATTACTCTTTGTAAATAAGCGCTATTAAACTTTAACAATTATATTACATAACAATTTCCAAATGAAAAAATATAATTTATTAACAAATTAATAATTATCGTAATATATTATATACACTTTAATATATATTGTATTAGTTTTCCGTATCTTATCACTTTCTATCTTTTTTTTCTTTTTCTTCTTTTTTCTTTTTTTTCTCTTCTTTAATTTCATCTTGCTTTTCTTTAAGCTCTTTTAATTGTCTCGCGGTCTCTCTTCGAAAATATTCGTCCTCACTAGCCGCCGCTCTTTCCTCGAAGATCTCTCTTTTTCGTCCATCGCCACTTCTTCGACGTCTTTCCGAATATGTTCTTAGATTATATGGTGGATAAAACCTAATTTATATCATAGAATTTATTAAATAATATAAAAAAATCTTCTTCATTAAAACAAACTATGATATTCAATGTAAAGAATGATCAATTTTGAATTAGCATATCTATTTTATGCAACAAATAAAATAAGATATACTAGACATCACTATAGCATATAATTCATTTTATAAATAATAACAATATAATAATTCCTTAAATTGATACTTAATTGCTAATGCAATAAATAAAATGTAATTATTTCTTTTTTTGCACGTTATTTAATTAAGTATGATTATTATTATGTTTGATAAAAATGATAATATGATATTTTAAAAAGGTTACATTGTTATTTTGATTCTTTTTAAATTAATCCATTTTGCAACAAGATTGCGGAACATGACGTTACTGCTCCTTCATCCTAGATTCTTCTTCCTTCTTTTTGCTCTGGAATTGTTGCAATAACTATTGTTGTTCGAAAAAAATTCAATATCAATAATTTTGACATAATTTTCTGGTTATTTAATTTTAATTTTGACAGCTTTTTTGCTGTGAAGTTCCTTTCGGAAAAAAACATACAATTGTCATTTGAAAATAATTGTTTACTCCGTTCTTATACATGCTGCGACAGAATTCTGATAATAAAAACTAATTTTATCTCTAAATGTGCTACAGATTTACCTACAAGGAGGCCAAATCGTGGGGCATGTGTCTATCAAACGGATCGTGTACGGGTGCGATCGGGATGTTAATGAACAATGACGTCGACTTTGCGGCAACGGAGTTTATGATGACCTCGGATAGATTAGATGCTGTCAGTTTTACAACGCCTATTTACACAACCAAGTAGTATATTCCTTCTTCAATCATTCTAAATAATGAGATACATATCGAAATCTGAATCTAATCGATATTTTAGTAACAAACTTGAGATATTTGATATCTATTCGAGAAAAAAATGTTTCATATATATGTTTTATATATAAAATAATATAAAATTATACAAAATTATACATTAAAATTACATATTTTATATATAATTATATATATAAAATATGTCCATATATACTAATGCCCATTTCTACCAATGTAGATTAACTTTAATCTCGGTTCAACTTACTCTTCGTTTTTTTCTAGTTCTAAAGATTAGGTGGAAATGGGCATAAGTGTAACATTGCGCATAATGACAGTTGAATTTAATTATTTATCAGATACGTTATGGACTTTCTATAATAAGCCATTATTTAAGCTTTAAGTCTTAAACTGTACGAAATTGGCCAATCACAGTCAATTATTTTTCTCACATTCGACTGTAATTGATCAATATCTTACAATTTAAAACTTAGGTAATGACTTATTGTAGAAAGTTTATTAGATTGTGTCGAGTTCCTTAAAAATAAATACTCGCGAGTTTATGAATTAGATCAGATGTGTCAGGTAACAAAATTAAAATCTATTATTTATGTTCTTTCTGTTTTAAGATGCCGTGCATATATTAAAAGGCCCGCATCGGCTGATGTAAAATGGGATGCCTATATGGCACCGTTCTCCACAAATATTTGGCGTGCCATCGCTTTTTTCATTGTACTTACGAGCGGAACGATTGTGCTCATTCAGAGATTATTTGCAGTAACATCTCCATATCTTCGAAATGACAACGGTTTAAGATTTACCGAAATTTTGTTTTTTGTCACAGGAGCGTTTTGCAATCAAGGTAGGCTTCAACTTTTACGCGCCAATTATTCGAGTGCTTGCGCTTTTCTTAATATACTAATTATTTTTTAATATACGACCTCTATCTTTCTTATGAAAAATGGTATCAGGTATGAAACAATCTATACTGGATCCTGTGAGAATTGTGCATTTCATAATTCATCTATCGGCTGTCGTGATTGTAGCCGCATATTCCGCTGCCTTGATTAGTTTCCTTACTGTTAATACGTTTATCATGCCCTTCACGACTATGGATGGTCTTTTGAAGGATAAGACCTATCGTTTCGGCGTGATCGGAGACTCGGCAGATTTTAGTTTTTTTCAGGTACTTAAAATAATTCCTAGATTATCTTTGCTACAAAATCAGCGCTCAGAGAAAAAGTACATTACATATTTGAAGTGAAAAATGCCGTAACAGTATATTTTATAATTAAAAATGTTTTCTATTCATATATAAGATTAAATAAAGTACTAATTTATACGTTTTTATGAATTTTTCTAAAAACAAGTTAGTGTCTCTTTTCTTTCTCTCTACCTTCTTTTAACAAAAATTATGTTTAAGAAAAATTTTATGTACACATTGATTTATGATTTTTATTATGACAGAATACATCGGATAAAATAATGAACGTGCTGTTCGATGAATTACTAATGAAGGAAACTGATTTACCGAGTAATTACTTGGACGGCTTAGAACGCGTTTGTAAGGACGACAAATATGCCTTTATGACATTGGATAATATGGCAACGTTGCTGCAGCAAAAAGTCGACTGCAAGTTGGAGCCATTGGATGCCATCACGCAGACTACCATAGCAATGGCTTTGCAACCAAACAGCCCGTACCGTGGTATCATCAACGCAAAGTGCGTGCAAGCTTTATTAACGTAAAATGATTAAGAGTTGTTTCAATAAATATTTTCGTTTTATTTGTTGCAGTATTCTTCTTTTGAGAGACAATGGGATTCTGCAGCGATTGCTGGAGACACAATGGTCGGTTCAGCTAAGCGGAGGGAGTGTACGTATTTCTCCCATCACAGATCATTCAAAAATATTGCAGTAACATTGCAAATGTTGCTGCAAATTTTTGTGCTGTACAAGTTGTAAATTTTGCTGACTTATCATCCGACAGGCTGATACATTTATTTTTGATCGCAGGAAAAATCATCGTGGAAATCGGTCGAGATCGGCGATATTGTGCCGCTGCTACTTTTTATAATCGCCGCGGTGTTCATCAGCTGTTTCATCTGTGTTATAGAACGCGTTATTTTCATGAGCTTTTTCAACCGAATTAAGAAAGAAGTGAATAAGCCGCGGGTGTAAACTAAAAGTGTAAATAAGAGAGAATGCTACGTTGCTAGAATATTACATCTTGTTTAATAAAACCTCACAAAGTTCTCAGATGTTTAAAATTAACATTTTTCATTATACTGATGTATAATGAAATCCGCCTTCTATTTTTCCTGATTTATAGATGCAAAATAAGTAGCGGATAAATTATTTCGAATTTTGAATTCTTTATGTTGTGTTTGCTATCTCATGTAGCTTTACTTACATTGGTAGGACGAATACAAGTATAAACAGTCGAAGCAAAAACTCGTAGGATTTTCTAATTTCCCTCGTCGCAGTCGTTTCGCTAGTCATCGAGAATCAACATCACGCGTTACATCTTGCGTAAGTCTTTCCATCGAATATTTATGATTTTATAATTTTTATCATCAAATTAATAATATAATTAAAGTATTTGATATAATATTCTAATATATATTTAATACGTGTAGTTATTATAAATTATATATGTTACATAGTTTATGATATTATTTGAAACATATAGAGGAGTGAAAGCCATACTGATGTCACTTAATTATGATTTTGAGGAACAAAAAGATTGTTTTCAATATATTTGCTTTAGTAAACTGCACTAATGACTTTAAATTGATAGGTTTAAAAAAGTAATTTACATTACTATCGCTTTTATTCCTCCATATATCACAAACACGAAGTATAAGGTAAACGTCCCAATGACCGAACATGTTATGTACCTATGTTCGATACCTACAAAACTTTATATTTGTTTATATTATTATTAATCTCAAACGTTTTTAAAATACATTTAAATTATAATACTATAATAAAAAAAGTATTTAAAAATAATAATAACAAATCTTGTGTAAATGTCCGGACATAGATACATGTCTGGTCACTCGCTGGTTATCCCCCTCCCTCCTCTCTTTCTCTTTTTGTCTGAAACATTTATCTTATTAATATTTTATCAATAATTATTATTAATTATTGATCAATGATAAATTAATTTAGGTATATTTTTTTAGATGTCTTATCACGTTGGCGAAGATTCCTCAGACAGCAGAGTTAAACTAGTCACGAAATATATCATGAACGAGGAAAATAAGTACACAATGAAAAGTGGCAAATCGTCCGAATTCAAGAATAGCGGAAAGAAGAAAGGCCTGTCACTAAGAAATATCGAAAATCATGTAGTTTGCAATACAACAATGATGAAACAATACTCTTCCAACAGAGGAAGGTTTCAGATTTATTCCGAAGACAGCAATGAAAGTGGTCGATCACGATCTCGTGTAAGAAAAGACGTACCCAAAAAAGAGATAAGAGCAAAGCGAGATAACGAAGTACTCAAAAAAACAACCGAATCAACAATTAAGAAACTTAATTCTGATTTATATATTTCACGCAGGTACGAAGGATGCACTGCGGAAAATTAGTTCCGTTGTAAAGACTTAAAGATTAAACTTGATGCTACTTTCTAACAATATATATATATATATATATATATATATATATTTACATACAAGATGGTCCCGAATGTTTCAGCTTCAGATTTTGAAATTTTATACGAAATTTAATTTTGAACAAAAAATTTCCTATAAATATGGATCGAAAAATACACTTCGTTAAAAAATTATTGTTCAAAAACCTCTGTTCGAAATAACGATTATTTTATATATTTTTATAAATATCAGATAATGTATGAACTTTTTAAAAAAAAAAATATCAAAACGAGAGTACAGAATTAAATTTCTTATAAAATCTCGAAATTTGGCTGTAAAACATTCAGGAAATCCTACATATACATATAAAATAAAAAATCTTAATGAGATAATGTAAAAAAATTGTTTTTTTTTTATTAGAGCACGTTCTTCAAGCAACTGTCGACAGAATGCTCTTTTAGATAAAATTAGCGTGAACAGCAAATTATTTAACAATCGAAGGTAATTACATGTACAAGTAACAAATTTTTAATAAATCTTTTTGTACACACATAATTTATAATGTATTTGTATATTATTTACTTTAAAATATAGAACAAAAAAAATATTGCATGGATAATTGTATAAATTTTATTTTCTAAATTAATAAAAAAGATGATATTCGGATTTTGCTATATTACATCTAACAGTATGTTTACATTTGTTTATATTTACTCTTCTGTTATAAACCAAAACATATATAATGTTTTTTTTTATATTTTCTGTGTTTTTTATTAAGCACTGTTTTCAGTTTATCATAATTCAAATCAATCAAACATATACAACAAAAAATAGTTTCTTCTTATTTTATGCTGTAAATTTAGTCCTACTTAGGGGTTTTGATACAAAAATGTTAATCGAAAACAATATATAAGCTATTTATAAAACAGTGTATTTTGTTGTTAAAGGAGCAAAAATTAATATACAAATATTATATCATTTTTAATTAACGTCTACTTACACATATATATGTACTTGTTTTATTAATATTTATTTTATGCTATATTTATCATGACATTAATTGATTATGTTTCATTCAGATGTTATTCCGAAAGCAGAGGAATTCCGTTGCAATGTGCACAAAGCAGTGTTGTTCAATTACCCAATATTCAAAAAATTAAACATCTTACTGACGATGTTAAAAGACGAACTTCTTCTAGTATACAAACGTGGAAAGAGAAAATGAGGAAACCATACAGTTAGTATATTTTGAGAGAGAAAAATGTGTATGCTTATATTAATTAGGAAGAAAGATTTTCTTACTTGTAAATCTTTTTAGCTGGTACCGTGCCCAAAAATAGGACGGGCAATACAAATTTAAATAACAAAACTTTTTCATTGGTTGGTATCAATAAAATTAATTCCAGAACTAACTTGCAAAAGAATTCTGTTACTGGATCGATGAATTTGCAACCTGAGCTATTACAAAATGCGAATGAAGGTAGTGAACAAGCTCAAAATATCGACTCCTTGAAGAATGCACTTCAGCAGATATCAAATGAAATTGAGATATATTTGCGAAATAATAAGTTATCTTCGACAATACAAAATGATACTAACAAGAGGTAAATCATAAAAAATTCAAAAATAAAATAAAATAAATCTCTCTTTCATTATCACATATTATTTAATTATTAATTAATATATAAAATTATTTCTACAATAAATTAAAGCAAACATACGGAACACGTTTTGCCGAGTTTTAAATTGTTGCAAACATTTTTTTTAGAAACTTTATTTCTGAGAACGCTGACAATAATAATCTATTAGATGCTACACTACTTTTTAACTCTAATAGCGTAACACCTTTAGATGGCTCTATCTCTCTGCCATTAACTCCAACAAAGGTAAAAAATGTAAACAAAATAAACAAAATAAATGGCGAAAAAGAGTCGTCGCATAATATATATAAAGATAATAGTCATAGATACATAAAATAAAAAGTAAAACGGCGTATATTAAAATATAAAACAATTGTTTAAAAACTATTATCTTTAATTATATATATTATGAGACGACTCTTTTTCGCCATTTATTTTGTTTATTTTGTTTATACATAAAGAGTCTTTACACCGCTGTTATTTAAAAAATGTAATATATATAGACAGCATAAAAATGTTTATGCTGTTAAAAGATTAGCATTGTGATTTTTTTAAGTACAAATTGATATTAGATTAAAGTGCAAATTAATTATGCTTTTAGAATAAGCTTGCAATTATTTATTGTCGGGCTTATTGCTATAGTTTTAGTATTAATATAAATATATTATAAATAAATTATCTTATATCATCCACTCGCTGTCGTATTTAACAATGGTTTTATCAAATAGGTGCATTACGAAAAATGTATAATGACACGGAAATTAGCAATTAAGAAGGAAAACGAGTATGATGTTATTTGCGAAACACCATACGAACGTGATTACTTGGAGGATATACCAGAGACGGAACATAAGAGGGATATCAACGCTCCGAGGCTTTCCCCTCATTTTCTACGTGAAAATGTAAACGCAGAACAGAGGAGAATCGTCGTAGGATATATTATTCGTCTTGGCGTAAGTGTAATGTAGAATAGTTACGGACATTTGATGTTAACCTGTAAGTGATACCTGGATGCGGATTCGCGTCTGCAAAATTTTCAATTTGTGGGTATTTGAGAAAATTGATTTTACTTAATCCGCAGTTGTGGATGAATAACATTTTGTTTTCTGAAAATTCAATATTGCCAATCAATTGATTAAAAAGTTTTACATTGAAAAATGTAGATTTTATTCTAATTTTGTTTTTAACTTTTAGAAGATATAAAACATTGAAAACGCCTAGTGCTAATTCGCCTCGTGCGAATACACATGTTTTTACGAATGCTCAAACAATACATGTCCTTTACAAATTAATATAGCATTAAAAATGGGAAAATGATATAAATATTTGTTTTAGAATTGAAATTTACAAAAATTTACAAAGAAATTTACAAAAATAGTTTTTATCTTTATTAATGACAAGAACAAGTGAAATGAGATGACTAACATTAGATTTCTTTTATTATTTAGATTACATAGAACGAAAAAATGTATTTATCAAAATTATATTAACCTCAATCTCTGTTGTACATATAATTACGATCACTTCCAGATACACTGCTTCTATTCGTCGCATGTCATTTATCAGACTGTCAAACTATTTAATGTAGCTATTGATCGAATTCATGTGAGAATTGATGATATACAATTAATAGCTCTAGCGTGTCTTTGGATAATTCTCAAGCAAGATGCACCTAGTGATAAAATACCATCGGTAACATAACTTTTCGTTCAGAGGAAAAATTTAAAGATAATGTTACCATAACTAGCTGATTAAAATATATTATAATATAATATAATATAATATAATATAATATAATATAATATATTGCCATTTTAATATAAATTCGTTAAATATCTAATGGAATCAAATAATTTTTTTAGGCAACTGTAATTCTGGAATTGGCGAAAGATTTATACAGCAATCAAGAGAAAGATTTGTTAAAATATGAGAAGAAGATTCTCTGCGCTGTTAAATTCAACACACGATTCGCTGATCCATTCTCGTTGCTTTCTTATTATATATTAAATGTAAATCAAGACAGTCGATGTAATATTATTAAGCCAAATGATATCGCGTGTGTCTACTTTTGCGGTAGTTATATGGTAGTTATAAACAAGTACTAGCAATTCAATTTTTAATATACAAATTATATACAGAGACAAATAATCTTTTTTTACAGATTGATTCATCTATGCTGGATGAAAACTTATGTGAAACTCCGGTGTATATAATAGCAATAACTGCAATAGATTTGTCGCTTCGTGTTGTATATTTGAATGAAGTTAACGTGAATCCAGAATGGTATCAAGTTTGGAGAAATAAACAATCACTCATAGAGTAAGAAAAAGATTAGCGAATGTGCAAAACGGATATCCCGTTTTTTGTCTTCAACAAGGATATATTTGTAACATTTTTCTTAAACAACAAACATATTAATCTTGCAGTAAAGAAAATGCAATTTGGCATGATCTGCAAGAAGAAATTTATTAATTTAAAATTAATTAATTAATTTGAAATTAGTTAATTAAGTAATTTAAAAATGATATACCTAAATTTCTATTTTAGTTGTAAATACACATAATTGATTTTTATATTTATTAATAACACTGCTGTTGACATTAGGTATTAATTAACTTCAAATTAATTAATTAATTAGGAAAAATTAATACATAAAACTCTAATTCACAGTTTATTTATATTTTTAGATGGGAAGAAAGAATGATGAATTCTACAAAGCAGATTATGATACAACGAGCTGTAGAATATAAGGACTTTGGTGCAAATGTTATATACAAGAAATACATGCGTAGCAAACACGGTAAAGTTACGAATTTTCTTCATAATAAATTGAAGAATATCTTGTGATGAAAAATTAGATAGTGTCTAGTTAAAGATATCACTTGTCCCACGATGGACGTTGGATCTCTACTCGAGAAAAGTAGGAACATTAGATCATTAAATCTCTAGCTGTCACATCATCATCGAAAAAGCATTTGCAAAGCTCGTTATACATGATTGTGATCAAGAGTGTGCCAAAGAGGAACACTCATTGGATAATTGTTAAATGCTCTTTAAATATGTTATTTATTTTGTTACAAACAACGTTTTATATTCAGATCGCGCTGGTCGCATTTACGTTTTATAGTTTACAAAAATTTTTTTTTATATTAAAAATATTTATAAAAAAAGCTTAAAACACATTTAAAAAAAATTTTATAAACATGATGTAGGAATTAAAATATAATGTACACGCATACTCGGAAAATATATTTTTTATTATCGAAAATTTAAAGAAGCAAGCTTTTATGATTCAAATCTCTACGCTCAGCATTATTCCTTAAAAGATTGGTCGTGACATTGAAATGTGTAATCTCTATCGTGGTAATATGCTACTTGTCAATGCGTAAACATAAGCGAGCTTATCGACAGTATTTTATTTGTCTAACAGTTCTCTCGGGTTATTTATATTATGACTTAATAATAATTTTTTAGCAACAGCAACAGAGTAGCAATATCACATATACTATAATTAAAAGCTACCAAGTAATGTTCGATTCTTAATCGTCAAGTTTTAATGAGTGCCGTAGTCCTGTTGAATATCTGCCCAAGTATTCCACTTGTCCCACGTGCTATCGGTGGACATTAGTTCCTTTACGTCATCCTAAAGACAGTGACATAACATTTAACTCTTCGTACAAATAAACAGATATCTAAATTAACTGTATATGATCATCGAATTTGAAAAATAATATGTTGCAAGGAAGATATAATCATTTCTTATAACGCTATTTATAATAAATTATCTTTAAATTTTTTTGTCT